AATTAAGTATTTTGTAATACATTTACCAATTTACTTTCACATTTACTTATACGGAAACATTAATTGAGTACCAAGAGAAAACACTCTTAAAATAGTTTTTATGATAAACGACCAAGACAGGCGTAAAGTATTGCAAAATTTACTTTAATGTAGGTACTTTAATTTTTTAAACAAAACGCACCTTGAATTGCCGTTAAGTTTTACTCACGGCTTATTATTACTTTTTCAAACAAGCGTATTGCACAATTTAACATATTTGTTTTATATATCCCTTATCACAAGGGCTGCAAAAACTATCAAAAAGAATTATAGTTTTACTTACGGTTCCTTCACTTTTAATACGTAAAGTACCTATTTGGAATAACACGAACGGCAAAAACCGTTAAATAAAATAGTTTTACTTACAGTTTTATCACTTAATAATAATAAAACCTTTAAAATCGCACAACGATCGCTCAGATTGAGCACGTGTTGCTTCGACGGGAGTCAGAACGCCAATGAGTTAATATGGCGCTGTCAAAACTTAGGAAAACAAAAATGGCCGCGCTTCTGCCAGGTGTCGCCACTGGACCGGATACAAGGTGAATAAAAGTACGGAAACTGATGGTAATTCGACGGGAAACGGAAGTGCTATCTCAATATAAAGCTTTCAGTGACGGTCAAGTAGTTTAATAACCTTTACATATTCAAGAAACTTAAACTAAACTAAACATATATTTAGTGTAAGGTTTCAGTAGAATTTGAACTATGGAAAAATAATAATATGTATAAATAACGCATGATAGTGGTATGTGATATTAAGTGTATTCTTCGTGTATTAAAAATATTAGCGTTTTGCACTCGATCTCAATATTAACACTCTTTTGAGCGAGAAATGTGTCAAAAAGTGATATGGAAGTTTGTCCTTCACTTATTTTTAATATAAACATGATTCGTGAACGAACTCAAAACAGCGGAAATTCTAGGACCTTTAGACTACAGAAAGTAGAAACATTGTTTCACCAACCAGTTGTAACAAATAGAAATTTACTAAATTATAATATTTATTTTTTAAGCATGTAACTGCTCGATGCTTAAATCTAAAGAAAATATTACTAGCAAAAAATCCACATGAACCAGGCAGCAGATGGGACTCGAACCCGCACCCTTCGCTATCCGGGCGAATGCACTGACTATTATGCTACCGCGGCCCTGATAATGGTCAATGCACTCGCCCGGATAGCCAGATTCGCCTGATCCACGTCGAATTTTTTCTAGTAATATTTTCTTTAGATTTACTTGCTAAAGGACATTGCTCGTTCCCCATACATTGAATGCCCTAGAACGCCCAGCAATGAGAAAATGCTAGTTATGTTCGGAATCATTCATAAACTCTATATATGCATTTGTTGAGATACGGACAACTTGAGGAACCGTGGCCTACTACAGAATGTAGTTGATTTTGAGGTTATAATTATTATACTTAATCGTAAAAGATGTACACTTTATATATTCTGAATAGATTTAGTGTTTACCTCTATGCAAGCACTTAAATAATATACATTAAATGAACATAAAATGCAATTAATAATAAAAATATTAAATGCTTATATTCATATTGATTAATGAGTGTTGTCAGTTGGCACCTACGATACCAATACCTTACCTGTAGTAATAATAGATTTCTTTTCAAATGAAATGTTCAGTCTTTCCATTTACCTGTTTCTATATTTTACTATCGGTAATTAGGTATGTACCTGGTTATCATTATGATTTTCATAAAAATAAACAGATATTATATGGGATGGGAGTATAAACTATCTTTACGTAATTTCAGAAATAATCTTTTTATAAATATAATACTAGTAATAAGTATTATTAACTAAGGTATCTCTATTTTTCTTTTGATTAATACCTATGGTCGCCTCTAATGCATTTATTAAGGTAAACAATCTTGGCACAACTTTTTAACAGAATCACCCATTTAATAATAAAATATTAACGAAGCCAATAAACTATTAAAATAAATCGTCCTTTTGAATCCAGTTAACAGTTGATTTTTAATGCTGTTTTTTCAATAAAAAGGAGTGCCAAGTTGGATGAATAGACTGTAGTATCTAGTAACAGAACTTTATTTTTTTATTTTTTTAAACAGATTGTCCGTTTACTATGATTAATTGCTAATATGTTAAAAAAATAATAGAAAGATAATAGTGAAGGACATTCTTTTGGGCATGCTAGGGCCGATTTCGTCGATGTCCTTTACGAAATACGACACTACACGTTTTTGAGAGTGAATCCGGTGTTTTTTGCTATTGTTATCAAAGCGCAATCGAAACAATGATGATGCTTGGAAAATAACGAACAATAGACGCGTGTGCAGGATTTTGCTCGCGACACTTTTTTAAGCGCGGTTGTTAGTCTACTAGCTTTAACGACTTCCGTGGCCGAGTGGTTTATACGCCGGGTTTCATGGTGTCGCCGACTCCAGGGGTCTTGGGTTCGAATCTCGGTGAAGGCAGATGTTTGTGTGATAATTACGAGCATATTTGTACTCCAGGCATGGATGTTTAATATGTATTTCTATATAAATATACTTATACAGCGTGTAAAAAAACCTTTCACGAAGTCGAAGGCCACGTATATTCCACATCATGACGATATTTTTTTCTTGTGGACCATACCTGGGAAATTTATGGTTATGGAGATATTGAAAGTCAAAGTCACAATTTTTTTTCAAGATTTCTACATTGATATTTTCAAAACGTTATTTAGAAACTTTTTATCGACGCACTTACAGACACGCACACACATACACATAGGCACATTCATTGAGTAGCGCCACAGTAGCGCGCCGCGCTATACATTGCGCACAGGAAAAAAATGTATTTTTATTAAATTAAAAATACAAATGATTCCCACGTATAATATTTTGTAATATTACTTGTTTGGGTGTACAGAATTCGTAGTTTTAGTCTTTGTCATAGGGTTTTTTACACCCGTACTATATACACACATCAAAAGTGTCTAGGGATCAACATATATTTTTGCTAAAACTTTTCTCCTAATTGATATTAATTAAAATTTTCTTTAAGGATTCATCAAGTAAAGTGTTTTCGTTTGTCACAGTAACGATAAACCAAGTCACCTTTGCATTAATAAAGAAATTTGCCATTTTCCTAATAAAGGGATTTTTGACATTTGAACCACTAACACAAAAGTTCGAAAAAAAGACTGAAATAACAGTTTTCTCTAAAATTTTATTGGGTAACTTAAACAATTAATAATCCGTATTTCTACCGCGAACACTAACAACACAAGAACATCGGTTTGGCATACTCAAAATGAGTTCATCCAAATCACGCTGTGGAATGGCCGCCCATGTTCGTTGCAACAACAAAAAAAGGTCTTCTTGCGACTGGATACCCTCCATATTCGGCAGAGCTCTTCTCTGTAGCATATCCCATGCATGCTCAATCGGGTTCAAGTCTGGCGACTGAGCAGGCCAGGGCAGGACATTGATGTTAGCTGCGGCGAGAGTCTGTCTTACAACTCTTGCGGTGTGCGGTCGTGCATTATCATGCATTAACTGAAATAAGGGACCGATTTGCACTTGTAGAGGAACGATGACGTCTGATACAATCGTCTCAGCATAAATTTGAGCGTTGAGGTTGCCTCTGATCCAAATCAACTCAGTTCTTCCGCCGATCCAAATACCCGCCCATACCATGATGGTTCCACCACTATAAGGATGGACTTCCTGGCAGGATTTTAATCGCTGTTGGCGTCCAGGGGTTCTCCAGTGTCGTATACGTCTTGTATCCGGTCTCATACCAAAACGAGACTCATCAGAAAAGCACACGAAACGCCATTGTTCTTCTGCCCAATTTCTGTGTTCAAGAGCCCATTGATATCGAATCCTACGATTGTGCATTGCTATAGGTGGTACCCGTAGCGGTCTTCGGGAATGAAGGTTCACTTCATGCAAGCGGTTTTTGACTGTTTGGTCGCTAATTAAGTTCCCTGAAGAGTGATGAAGCCTCACGGCTAACATCATGGCGGTTATTGTTGGAGCTCTTCGAGTTAAGATTTGAATGTATCGGTCTTGTCTCCGTGTGGTGCAGCGATACCGTCCTCCATGGCGCTCAGCCACGGTACCAGTGCTTCGGTATCGTGTCCAAAGTCGACTGATAACACTCTGACTTGTATTCAGAGCTAAAGCCACAGTACGTTGCCGGGAACCAGCTTCTATCATTCCCACGGCTCTGAGCATTTCTTCCCTGCTTAAATGACGTCGCCGCTCCATAATAACGTTGGTTTTAATCAGTAGTAGGGAAACAGTAGCACTAATAATGTCTTCAATGCGTTGTATGTTTTTATAGGGAAAATATTGACAGCTGATTTTCATCTTTTACTCGAATTTGATTCACAGTTCCTGATCCAAATTATGAAATGCACCAAAAAGGATCCATATAAATTTATAAAATCATAAATTTATTACAAAGCCAAATCTCAATCTCAAGAAATCCGCATAAAAATGCTTGATCCCTAGACACTTTTGATGTGTGTATGTATTTAAACAGTTACTCTAGTATCCCATAACACAAGCTCTACAGTGCTTACTTTGGCGCTAGGCTCATTGGTGTAAGTGTTGGAAAAAAAATATTATACTTTAATGTTTGAGAGCTATCTAACAATAATAAATATCGTATCCGGTAGTCGTATTAGATGTTCCTGCTAAATGTTGGAAAAAAAAAACTAAAATTCTACGTCAATGTTTGAGAGCTATCTAATAATAATAAATATCGTATCCAGTTGTCGTATTAGATATTCCTGCAGAATGTTGAAAAAAAAACCAAAATTATACGTCAATGTTTGAAGGCTATCTAATAATAATAAAGATCGCATCCGGTTGTCGTATTAGGTCTTCCTGCTGAATGTTGGAAAAGAAACCAAAATTATACGTCAATGTTTGAAGGCTATCTAATAATAATAAATATCGTATCCGGTCGTCGTATTAGGTGTTCCTGCAACACCTATCGGCGTTGTCGCCTCGTGCCAGCTTCCCTACGTTATGGGCACGAGTGGTAGAAGTGCAGGCAGCTTTGGTACGAGCTGGTGCTGACGCTGGAACCGACGACGCTCTCACCGAGGCTGCGCTTGAGTCACTCAAGAATATGCTGCTCGTGATGGACAGCGTGCGGGTCAGTGTCAAACTTATCATCATTAGCCTCGGCCTATTAATGTCCCCACTGCTGGGACACCGGCCTTCCCTATGGATGGAATAGGGAGATTGGGCCATGAGCCACCACGCGGGCCCAGTGCGGATTGGCGGGTGCTAACGACTGCAGATGCAGCCGGGACCAACGGCTTAACGTGCTTTCTGAAGCACAGAGAAGCTCGAGATAGTAAATTTTTGGTCAACCATCCAATGACCGACCACTGCGAAAGTTGCTTGACCTTTACGATCCGGGCCATCGAGCTCCTCTTTCCCATTTTCTATGTCTATTATCATATAGCACACTAAGGTATAGAGGATTTAAAAAAGACAAAATACTAATTATAAGAGAAATAAATATGTATGAGAATATAGAAAACCTCAGTGGATTTTAGATTGACATCGTATGGTGAATTTACGTGATGTCTTTACATACTACGTACGTACATAGATGTTTATCAGTGTCTTGCAGGAGCCTTTCTTGACCAAATGACACTTTTGTATTCTTTTAGTTAGAGAGAAAACGCCATGGTTCGTTGACCACTTTATGATAATTTTAAATCATTTCTCTTTTTTTTTCTTTTTCCAGATTTTCAGCAATGGCGACACTTACAACGACCTATGGTACATGACGTGGGAGAAGATCGGCGAATTCTTGCCCAATCTAAAGGACGAGCTCTTCCCTGAAGGTATTTTTTACTAGTAGACAAACAAATGCTTCAACGGGTTATTTTATTTATTATCAGACGAATATCGGCCATTTTGGTAGATGAAATTGTAATTTACGTATTTATTCCGTAGCAATAAGAGCTTTATTTGCAGTCAAAGCCGTGTTTTGTTTAAGAGAAATACATTTTTGTTGTAGCTAAAGAGTCTGCCCCAGCCAGTGTTCCCAGCCACATGCAGCCGCCATTGCCAGTGCCGACCGTAGTGCCAGTGCCCAACAGTACGCCATCCAACCTTATAACCAATCCCCAACTCCCAAAAATCGTTTCGCCTATCCCCCAATCCTTACAGGCTTCGTCACCAATATTGGTGCCAACGGCCCAATCGCCCGTGAACTTGGGCCAATCCCCGCCGATGTTGGTCACAGCTCCAATCCCCGTGACTCCAGGAATGGTGCCGATAAGGAATCCTTTGTACGATCAGGCGGGACTCACGTCTTCTGTGCTTCTTCAGCCCTTGAACGAGGTAGGTAGGATAGGTGGCATTATATAATGCTCGAAATACTTATTGTCTCGTGTCTGGGTGTTTATGGCCCCTCTGTGAGGTTTGATTACTATCTGTAACTTTCTTGAATTTGAAATAAGATCTTATTTGTAACACTTCACTTGATGCAGGTACTTCATATGACTTCGTATTTGGTATTTGTCATTTTGACAGCAGATTGTCCTTGTAATACTCTATCATGGAGGTTAGAGATAAGAAGAACGATCGCTGTAAAAAATAGTGTCCCAGAAATATGGACAAAATAAATGAGGCGCTGCGATCGCTAAGTTGTCTCAATAAAAGCGAGCTAATTTGAAATGACCAATGCCGCGAAGAAAAGTTGTACAATATTCAACTAACTTCATCTACTTGTACTCATAAACAGCTAACTTCACAGATACTACTTGCCGACGGCAGCGCGGCTGGTGGCTGAAAAATGAACTATAAATTATACAAATTTTCAGGGACAGGCGGGCTAATACTTTAGTACGTAGCGATCGTTCTCCTTATCTGTAACCTCTATGTACTCTATAGAGAGTTAAAAGAAGAGACGGTTGTCAAGTTTAAAACTAGCAAATAGGAATAGCCATTTTGACAGCTATCTTTTAGTGCAGTTTGATACCTGTAGCGAAATGCTGAGTACGTTTCCTTAGCTGACTTGCGAGATTATAATAATAGGGGTGATGACGGGGTACAGTAAACGAAATTTTATTTAGTCCGTCACTTGGATGATCAAAAAATAATGGACACGTATTTTTTCTTTGGGCAATCAACCAAAAAAATACAAAGTTATAGCGCGTCAAAGTTTGGGAGTAGGGGTTCGTGACGTCACTTTTGAGTGAATTTTCCCTTTTAAGTGTACTCCAACGTGACGTCATGCGACTTTTCAAAACAATATATCTCTGCAATGTTTATATTATGTGAAAAAAGAAAAAATACGTGTTCAATACTTTTTGATAATCTACCTGATAAACGAAGAAAAAAAAATTAGTCATCATCCCTATTCTGTCCCAATGTCATATTTTGTATTACATTTAATATATTTTTTTGTCTTTTTAGATGATATCTACACCGATAGGTATATCGATACAGTCACAGATGCCGATCTTGTACCCGCAGACCACGACGGAGCTTCTACAGACGCAAACCTTACCAACAGACCCAATCAAAACAGAGTCTAAATTACCACATTCCATCGAATCCGTGCCGGATGTACAGAGAGGCGAATTGTACGCCGAATATTTGACGAATCCGTACCACGAAACTAAGGATTTGTCGTCAAAGGAAGCAACTTTGTACGACCCAGAAAGTCTTATAGTAGATCAAAAATTGCCCAGTACCGGAATAGTGGAGATAAGCAAACCCCTACTTGATGTTTTAGAAAAGCAGAAATCATTAAGTGCCAATACCACCCCTATGCACAACGCTAATAAAGCTCAATTCGGCTCGAGCGACAACTTGAGGCAGGAGTCTAGTATTTTCAACTTCACCAGTTACTTCAGTTCGGTGAACGAAAGAAATTCTGAAGTTTTCGACGCACTTATGTCCACACAGGAAGGATAGCTCGAGTGTGATGTCGGCACATGGCTCTAAATTATTGCGAGTGTATGATTTGACTAAAGACAGGTTATGGAAAAGTTGCTGATTTGACTAGAGAGAAAGTAAAGGTCTCTACGCACTATCCGTCTTGCTGGATCCAGCATGCGGGACAGTATACTGTACACATAAATATATTGCTTTAAACTTTCATGGTCACTAACATTATAGTAATACTAGCTGACCCAGCGAACTTCGTACCGCCCTAAAAAAATAGGGGTTGTCCAGCGGACAAAATTGTGAATCTAAACCATTCTCAGATGCCCTTGAACACACACAAAAAATTTCATCAAAATCGGTCCAGTCGTTTAAGAGAAGTTCAGTGACATACACACTCACAGAAGAATTATATATATAAAGATAAGTTATTTACGGGATTCTTACCATGTACCTTGTTTTTAGCGAGTTTCCAATATTTCGGCACTGTTGCAAGCGCCATGATCGCGGAATAACTGATACTACGGATAATATGATAATATATAATATCGGAAACTCGCTTAAAAACAAGGTACATGGTAACAATCCCGTAAATAACTTATATTACTATACACATATAAGTGATCCTGTATCTCCATCTCTTTCACGAATATAGTGCTGTCCCGCACACTGGACCCAGCAAGATGAATAGTGCGCAGAGAACTGTATAGATTTATCTCACGATTTACTGCTTGAGCAATGTATCCTAAAGCCGAGTTGAAATGGGATAGTTAACGATTTTGATTCTTGCTCAAAAACGTATGATACATAATATAATAATATTGATTATTGACACTGCTGCAAGAATTTTTGCTCCATAAGTTTGTCGTAGGCGCGAGAGATGTCAAATCGGTAATGAGAAAAAAAAACAGTCAATTTTAATATAGTTTATTGCATTACAAAGTCTCATGAAAAACCGACGTAATTAACTGTATCGTAGATAAAATAAACTAAGATAATAATTGCCAGAAAAAAGGTAGAAATGTGTAAAATAGCACTTAAACCCGTTTCAATACAACAATATAAATTTGTAACCTTTTAATAAAATTTGTATTTAGTTCAGTCTTTTCGTAGTTTACTGATGGTTAACCCCTTGTATATAACTTTTTCTGTCAAAATATACTTTAAGATCCTCGAAATACATAGCACGATTACGATTATAATATGATACTATAATTGAATAGGTTTATTATACTTTGAATTAAATATTAAAAAGGTTATGTACGCTTAGCACGAACCACTATCGAACTCGAATAGTTTGCGAGGGCGAAATGTCACTGACAAATGTTGTGTGGAAACTTGAACAGCAGCGACAAAATGGACGTGACAAGAACTAAAAATCAGTACACATTTGACGTATATAATAGATCGAATTCAACTATTCAAATTCGATTATGGTGCGTGCTAAAGGTACCTACTGTCTCATTTATAATAGAAGAGTCATGTTGTTAGAGAAATAATAATAATTTATGAGAGTATAAATTTATGCCTATCTTATGAAATAGTCAATGGGTGAAGCGAAATTGTTGGTAGCAATTGCGCATTCAGTTCAGCTTCTACTTAAAATGTTCACAAACTGGTGGAGAATAGAAAAGTTTCTCATAAAATGTGGTGCAATTTTTGTCTTAAGTTTCAATTAAATTGATCTAACTACCAATTGCAATATTGATATGTTCTGAAACTTTACATAGGTAAGTTAACTTCATAAAATGCGTAGGGAATTTATTAATGCAAAGAAGAATGTAGATTCGTTTGCATTCTTTGTAATTTTTATTCATTAAACTCAAAAAGCTTCCTATGATTTTATGTGTTGATTATACAAAATCCAATTTAGTAATAGAGGTTTATTAGATGAATATAATTCTGTTGTATTATAAATAAATAATATATTGCAACACAAAAACTTAGTTTACAGCGTATTTTAAATTTATTTACCATATTTATTTGAAACGTCAGCAAATATCCCTATACTTTTTCCTATAGAGTTTTTAGATAATTTATCTGTTAATCTTATAGACTTATGTCAGGTCTAAGTTATTTAGGGTCTCTTCTTGTTACCGATTTTATAAAGTAACATAAGTTTTATGTATTGCTCGTTACTGTACCTAATATTGGCCTATGGTGTAAATTATACTATAGCTTAAATATAATGTGCACAATAGATTACTAAGTAGCCCCTAATGGTGCATCGACATTGAATTTACTTTTTGTGGAGCAACATTTTGCTACGCGGTAATATCTCACGCACTCGGTAACTTCAAATAAGTTAATTGCTCTATTTAGTCCGTGTCGTCAAAATCTAGTGTTATCACAATTGAAGTGACAAAATTAACCGAACTTCAAAGTTAATTGACTGCTCGGGGTACGGCCCTAAGTCACATTCATTATAATACTAAGACTCTTTTTTTTAGTTATTACTTCTTAGATGGCTGTTTCTTTCAATAATGTTGCCGCTACCATGACAATGAGGGTTTTTATGAAAATTTACGCCACCAGTTGGCGCCACTGTGACTGCGCGAATTAATAGAACGAGCATTTAAATTGATCCATAGACTATGATGACCATAGAGGTATAAGAATAGAGTAGGGGAGATTCAGACTCTACTACAAGTGGAAGTGTCCCTCTAATATAAATAGACAGAAGATGAGAGACCGCTAGCTGTCTCTCTCTAATCGCGCATGCGCATTGGCAACCGTAAGCATCTTACTATTTCGATACCATACCATTGGATGCCATGCGTCATAAGGCAGAGAGGGATAGCTAGCGGTCTCTCATCTTCTTTCTCTTTCTACTAGACGGACACTTTTAGAGCCGCTTTCCTCACTCTATTCTTATACCTCTATGATGACGACACACGCGATTTGACGGATGAGTAGACTTTTCAGCTCACTGGTGCCACCTGGCGCCCGTTATTCCAGAAAACCCTCATTAATATATAATAATAATATGAAAGCCAGAAAACACACAAAAGAAAAAAACGCGTTCAACATTGTAAAGAATTCCTAGGCAAAGTATAAAATGAATTGGACATTGCCTTGACGTTTTTGGCATTCTTTACATTGCCTAGGTATTGTATAAAATGCCGGATTATACAGATTGCCGGTAACATGTATATACTGCTAAATTTAAATAATTGTTTTCCCATAGTGCAATATTGCTGTCATTTAAAAAACACGTGTTTTTAAATTTCGAAATGACATACATATTTACGATTGTCAAAATGAAACTTGAAACTTAACTTTTTGCGATTTCGTACGTAAATAAAAGTGTCAATTTGATCTATCACTCTCCCAAATATGAGATGAAAGCTATAGCGGAAGCTGGTATTGAACCATCAGCAGGATACAAAAATATCTTGTTGCCGCGCAGTCATTGCCCTTCGTGCTTATCAATCAGTTGATAATATCCACCCCGACTGCTTTAAGTTATGTATGGCAGTTCTTCATCATCACTAGCCTATTAATGGGCCCACTGCTGGGGCATAGGCCTCCTCTATGAAAGGAAATAGGCAGATTTGGCTATGATCCACTACGCGGACTCAGTGTGGATTGGTGTGTCTTAACGACTGCAGATGCAGCCGGGACCAATGGCTTAACGTGCCTATTGAAGCACGGCGGAGCTCGAGATAGTAAATTTTTAGTCACCCATCCAATGACCGACCACTGAGAAAGTTGCTTAACTTTCACGATCACAGCCTTATCAAACATTCTAATTTCCTCATTATAAAGACACAGAGCAAAACTTTTTTTATCTATTTAATTACTCGTTTACAGCTTTTTTTTTATATTCTGCCAATCTGCTAGCTGGGAATGCAACCACAATTTTTTTTACATGTCAAATTCTATCACATTCCAGGCCATGCTAGTGTATTATTAGTTTTATTTTATTTCTGACGTATTTATTCATTTAAGTTCATTCAATGTTACTTATTATTCGTAAATTTTTATTTCGTGTAAGTGAAAAAAAAGTTCGTGTTTAAAATTTTTGGATTGTAAAGTTTGTACATTATGTAACATAGTGAACTTCGTTTTTGTATAGAGAGTTGTATGTATCTACAGGAAAATGTAATATCTGTAATTTATACTTGTATTATCTAATGATTTATTAATAAAACTATTTAACAACATCGATGTTGAGTCTAATTTTCTATCAATGCAATTCACCTAATACCGACGGATTTATTTTTAGCTAAGAATAAATAAATAAATGCACTGATTTAAAGAGGCAGTTGTAATTAGCAGTTTTGGTAAGTTAAAAATTATAAATGGCACATTTAATAACTAGTTCAGCAGTTAAAACTAAGCAGGAAAGTAAACAAAATTGAGTAATAAAAAATAATATATAATTGACCAGGAAAATAATTAAATGGGCGGTAAATAATTTTGACCGATCGGTTACGTGTAAGCAGTAATAAATCGGAATTCGTCGGTAAGAAATCTCATTCTAAGCAATTCTATAAACAATGAGGTGGTAAAACAAAATAAAAAACAGTACTTAAATAGTAATGAAAAATTTATAAATGACTTTTGCTTTGACTGAAAGAATTACATAATATAAAATAATTAAAAAGCACATGATTTATTGTGAGTCAAGTAATGAATTGGTCTTTATTATCTAGGGAATAGAGTTAGTTTTTCTAGAAAAACATTTACACGGTTTAGGTTTCAGCATCCACCCCGATTACACGGAATAGGGTATTTGACAAGTTTTAGAAAACGATCTCACGCTATTGACTAATATTTATGGAGTCCGTAATAAGTGGATATTCATCATTCTGTTGTATATTTCAGTAAAAATAACCAACAAAATCTCCATTTTCAAGTTGCCGCGAAAACGTTTCTCTGGACAATATGGCGTCTTACTAGTGTGTGTCGTCATACAACTGATACAAAAACGTCAAACGAATGTAATGTTACTTTAACCGGAAGTTTACTTGCGTGTGACGTCATTTTAGGCTCCGCCAATCCCAAGCGTTTTGGGTCACGTAACAATAGATAAGAAACTATTATCTTTTTCGTGGGTTTTTAGTAAAATTATGAATATTTTTTGGAAAAATAGTTAAAACCCCTGCCAGTATTCATTCTAAACACAGATGCTAACATTTGGCACTTTATTTTTAATACTGTCAAATATGATTGAGTGGAATTTTTCGTAGTAAAATTTTCTTGATTTTGTTTTAGTGTATCATCATCATTTAGTCAGTCGTCATCTTTGAAAGCTCAAACATGATCTCGGGCAGGCTCAAAATTAAACTTCCCGTCTGCTGTCTGGACAAAGTAGATTTTTTTCTAGTAATTTTCTTTTATGATTTAAATATCTAGCAGTAAAATGCTTTATAACTTTTTTCTGTGTCTTTAATAAATATACCTACCAATATCCCTCTTTCACTGCTTGCTTTGAAGGTCAGATTTACTTACTCGTAATTCAGGTAACCGTAATCGTCTCGCTATTGTCTAAAATTTTGACGATGCGAAACGATTACAGTATATACCCCTAGCACGAACCATTATCGAATTCGAATAGTTTGCAAACCGTCAATGTCAAATTTTGTATAAAAACTTGATCAGCAGCAGCACAAAGTACGTAATGAGAACTAAAAATCAGTACACATTTGACAATGACATTTGAGACTCGCAAACGTTACGAATTATCGAATTCGAATAAATAAAATAAATAAGTATTTCCAACATTCACGCCAATTAGCCTAGCCCCAAAGTAATCACTGTAAGGCTTGTGTTATGGGATACTAGGGTAATGATAAGAATACATAAATATATAGTACATATATAAATATATTTATATAGAAATACATATTAAATATCAATGACTGGATTACAAATGCTCGTATTTATCATACGGAGGTCGTCAAATAGTTAGAATTGTTCAATTCGATCTATTTTATACGTCAAATGTGTACTGATTTTTAGTTTTCGTTACGTCCGTTGTGGCGCTGCTGTTCAAGTTTCCATATAAAATTTGACTATGACATTTCGCACTCGTTAACGGAGCGAATTTGATATTGGTTCGTGTTTAGGGTACGGTACCCTTAGCACGAGAAAATGAACAGTGCCATAACGAACATAACGGGAATCAAAAATCTTCCCCCGAAACCGTTTGACATTTGACGCGTATCGAATTCTTAACGTTTGCGAGTCCGAAATGTCATTGTCAAATGTGTACTGATTTTTAGTGTTCGTTACGTACTTTGTGGCGCTGCTGTTCAAGTTTCCATTCAAAATATGACATTGACATTTCGGACTCGCAAACTAATCGAATTCGATTATGGTTCGTGCTAAGGTTACTGTACCCCTAGCACGAACCAATATCGAATTCGTATCATTTGCGAGTCCGAAATGTCATTGTCAAATGTGTACTGATTAGCTCTCGTTGCGTATTTGTGCCGCTGTTGTACAAGTTTCCATACATAATTTGACATTGATATTTCGGTTTGCAAAACTATTCGAATTCGATAATGGTTCGTGCTAGGGGTACAGCACTCTGTACCAACCATTTATCAAAGAACCATTATCGAAAGTTATCGTAATCCAAGTTCGTGCTTGAGGTACTGATGTTAGAGCAATACATCACATAGCACAGTCCTTTTGCCTGGTCTTAAGATTAATTTAGTCAAGGCTGAACCAGCTGTTTTAATAGGTTTATTTTTTCGCTAAGAATTTGAGAGCTCCAACAAGTGTCAAGGTACATGATAGCTGACTTCTTTTGTGTGCCCCTAGCACGCACCGAACCGAAATTTCATTGTCAAATTTTGTATAGAAACTTGAACAACAGCATTTCGCACTCGCAAACTATACGAATTCGAAATTGGTTCGTGCTAAGGGCACAACTGCCAGACCTCAATTTGTCATAATTATTCCAATTGTTTTTACACTTTAGTAATGTTTCTTTCTTAAGGTCTGAATGGTTTCTCTCAGTTGCTAGACTTTTACATAATATACCGAAGTTTACAGGTATTTTTAAAATTCTGTTTTGATATGTCTTTTAAACAACCAAAAATTCAAATCGGATTCTTTCTTACTCATTATTTCTTTGTGTATGTTTTGTTTTTGTGGGGATGTAAATAAAACAAAGATTTATAAAAAGTCAACAGAATATAATCAACATTTACAATATTTACAAACGTATGTACAAAATCGAGAGAGCCTTCACAGAAGGCAACGCACACTTCATCGTTCAACAGTCACGATATAAATATTAGAATGTCCGCACTAGCGATTCGTCACACGCGCGACACCGGCAACGGTCTCTTGTAGGGCGGGTGGTGCGCGCGCAGCAGCGGCGGCGAGCAGCACGGCGCCTTCCGCGGCGGACACAGCGCGCGCCGCCACACCGCGCCAGACTTGCGCGACCACGACCACGCCGACGCACCTGCCCCGCCCGCCGCCGGCGACACCGCCGCCAGCGCGCTCCCGCTCGATGCTGCCACCGCTGCGGCTGCCGTCACCGCCAGCGCCAGGTACAGCAAGCCGGCGGCGGCGGCCCGCACGGCCAACCTCCCCACGCGAGCGGCCCCGCGCGCGTCCAACGCCCTTCGCACGCGGGCGATGCCGGGTGCCGCCGCCACCGCCAGCGCGGCTGCCGTCACCAGCAGCGCGCCTCGCGGCACCGCCACGAGCGCTGGTCCACCGGCCGCCGCTATGCCGCAGGTGCCGCTGAGCTCGTCGGCCGCCACGCGCCGCAGCGCCAGCGCCGCCGCCGTCCACGCGCCCGCCCAGCCCCACGCCGCCGCGTGCAGGTACGCGGCCGCGCGCTCCAGCGCCTCCGTCGACCACTCGCTCGCCGCCGTCAGGTACCACGCGACGCACGCGTTCGCGAACCACGCGTCCGCCGCCAGCGTGAAGTAGTACGTGAGCGCGAAGAACGCGACGCACGGCGGAGCCGCGAGTCCGTCCACGGCCAGCGCGTCCCCCGCGCACGACACGGCGCGCGGCCCGAGCCACCCGCGCGTCACGTACGCGAGCGCGACCACGGCGTGGCACGCCGCCATCCACACGACGGGCCGCTCCGGGTAGCGGTACCGCGCCGGCTCCGCGCAGAACGTGAGCAGCGCGAACGCGGTCGACAGCAGGGAGACCCACGCCAGAGTTATCATCCAGGCTTCGGTGGTGCGCTTCTCGTCGGGCGTGTACGCGGCGTGATGTCCGCAGGCGGGCCAGCAGGCGCCGGAGGGCGCGCGCGTGTTGGCGGGCGGGCAGCCGCGGTCGGCGAGCAGGTCGGGGTCGCGGAAGGGCCAGCGCGGCGGCGGCGGCTCGGGGCGGGGCTCGCTGGCGTTGGGCGGCCGCATGCAGAGGCGGCGGTCGGCGAGGCGCGGGAAGGAACCGCACTGCAGACCGAGCGGCGGCGGCAACGCGCGCAACCGCTCGGCGCACTCCTGGGACACGTTCTCGCACAGCTCGCGGCACGCGCTGACAGACCCCGACACCTGCTCCGAGCACAGCGGCGCGAACGCCGAGCACAGCAGGAAGCGAGCGTGCGCCGAACAACCGCTCGTCAGGATACTGGCGAACATCACCATCTGGAAATAAACAGAATACGATTGTTAATAATATTCGCTCGGAGTCCTTTGAATGACTTAAATTATACCGAATTGAAACATCTAAAACTTTGAGGAGAAATTATTATCTCTCGACCGCGGCCTCACGAAGGCCGACGGTCCCAGTCTCAGTTTATACAAAAACCTGCAAATGAGAGGAGCTTTGAGACAATAGCAAGGTCGTCCGAGCGACTAGTTTTTGTCGATGGACGGATGTCACGAAACCGAAATAAAGGGTTGGAAGTTTCAATCGTCCCATGACACGATGATTTAATAATACAAATGACGCAGATTACAGGAATTTGTAACTTCTACATTACAATTTAAGATACTTTTACTTGAGTAGGCGATCTAATACTTCAAATAAGACATTAAATGGAGCAATTATTGTTTTGTTTATTTTTGCTATCAAAGTTTTATATTCATAGAACCTTACAAATTTAAAAGAGATTTCCACATTTTGCAATAAAACTGCATTAACGAAAGGTTTCTTTCTCAAAACAAAACAAAATGAAAGCAAGAAGCAAATATGTCTTATTGAGAAAGAGAGGTAGTTAATTGGCCGCAATTTGGTGATAACGTCGCGGTCTCATTTTTTGAATGTCTTCAAAATTAAAGATTTGCAGAAAAAGCAGCACTGCCAGGGATGAGCGGCATTGCGACAGGTAGCGAAGAAATAGCAGAGCCAATTATTTATCTCCCTGCGCGGGCGCAGAAAGGCTTTCAATGGCCGCCGATGGCTGGGTAATTGTCGCGAGCTCGGTAAAAAATCCGCCGATGCGCCCGACGGCCGCCTTTGGATTACTCTCGACTCGAGTTATATCAAAATATAATAATGTCAGATTTAAAAAGAAAGGAAGGGATCTTTTGAACCGCATCTGGGGCTACGCAGAGCTTCAGAACTGCTTCATTAAAATTGAAGTTTGATTAGGACACAGAATAATGCAAAAGTAAATAGCGATGTAATATATCGATAATTTAAATCTAAACAAAATATAACTAGAAAAAATTCTACGCGGACCAGGCAGCAGACGGGACTCGAACCCGCACCCTTCGCAATTCGCATTCGCATTGTGGGTTATAATGCGAAGAGATGGCCCTGCCTTGCAGCTTAAGAATGGCTAGAGGAATTTCGACGCGGACCGTGAGGGCCGCAGTAGCATAATTGGTCAGTGTATTCGCCCGGATTGCGAAGGGTTCGGGTCCCGTCTGCTGCCTGGTCCGCGTAGAATTTTTTCCAGTTATATTTTCTTTAGATTTAAACATCAAGCAGTTACATGCTTTAAAAAATTCAAAATTATAATATTGATATTTTTTTTTTAATTATAATGGTGTCGATTCTGTCGGGATTCTCTAAACTTAAAACTTAATTTAACATCAGTCTCTCCTTTTCATTCTGTATAGAGAATGACAAGGATACACTTTTGTCAAATTTAAGTTTAGATTTAGAGAATCATGCCAGAATCGACACCACTATGTGCGAGTAAAACAGTATCTTATGCAGCATTACATCAAGCAAAATTCAACTGAAACTTGCTTTAAACTTATTATAAGATCTAATAAGTCGAATCTGCTTTCGGTTAAAAATAAAAAAATAATTACCTAATAAATTAATACAACCATTGACCATTGACAAAAATAAAGGTAGTATTATCATAAAAAAGGTTCGATATTTATTAATCAAACGAACCCGTGAGGAATGATGAATATAAACTTTTACAACTCGCAATTTTAACGAGAACATGGCAAATACATTAGTTTACAATCCATTATCCAAACTAGAGCACTAGCTTGTTAGTTCAAAGCGATACGTGCCGCCGTTATCAAGACTTCAAAGGCGGCAGAATTGCCGGCTAATTCAATCAGGCGTAGATAAGGGTTTTAAAAGGAACCGACTAACCGATGCGACGCAACGGCTTGCCATGTAATATCTTACCTATATAGCTTTCAGATCAGACGCATCTTTGATGTTTATATCTAAGACTTCCTTGGGTATAACCAGCTGGCCATTATGAATGTTCAAAAGGCATGCTATTTCAACTCAACTCAACTCAAACTCTTTATTTGCAAACTAAGTGTTACTTAAGGTACATAAACATGATACCTACATAGCATCTTATGACCTAGTCATTTGTAAAGTTATTTTAATCATTCTAATCATTTATTTTAAAATTAAAGCAAATTTTTATTAGGAAAGAGTTTAAAAGTTTCTCTCATATTTTATTGGGTAAAAAAATCGGGACTTATTAAGTATGAGCATTTTACCTAACGAGGGGTTCGAATATGTTCAGAGTTTATATCGGGACAGTGCCGTCTTTGATCTATTGGAGGCCCTGGGCATATTAGGATAATAGGGCTCGTTTGGTGATCTAACAAGAACTAGGGACTTTGTATTTGTGATCTGAGGTACCCACCTATCGATCACGGGGCCCTGGGCACTTGCCCAAAGTGCCCACTGGGAAAGAAAACACACACAGTCGAAAAGAGATCCTCCTCGTTTCTGAAGGTCTTTTCCACTATAATCATCTGGGTATTCATAGCCGACTCTAAGGAAACGAAAGGATACTTTGATCACCCGCGAATATGATCACCGGCCGGCCTAGTCGCTAACTTTTTTGTCATTTACAGTGTGTAACTAAAGAGAAAATTGCATATCCATCGATGCTTTTTAGAACAAGTATCTTAGTGGCGTTATAATAAAGTTCGTTGATCATCACCTACATCTGTCAAAAGCAGTTAGCGAATAGGCCTACTGGATGTTCATGGGCGACCCCAATATAATTAGTATTTCGGTATCCTTTAATCACCTTAAAATGAATATCATCAACGCAAATAAAAAAAAATGAATTAACACATACCACCAGTTCATCACAGGTCCACTCCACTGGAAGTTTTAATGTATCAAATCCATTCTTGTTGTATGAAGGTATCATAACTTATTATTATCGCGATTTCTTGTCGCCTATATAATAAACCAGGTGATATCACCCGGGTGATCATAGTGGAATAGACCTTTTGAAGTAGGTTGAAAATAGAAAAGTTATAATGATTCTTTTATCGATTCGCATTATTAACAAGACTTGTATAATTTAAATTCTGAACAATGTAACGCGACGGCAGCATTTTTTTATTCCCAAATTATTTTAAGAATAATGCGCTTTCATAACTATCTCTGTATAGTGAATTATTTTACAATCGGCGAGAAGCAACATAGAATTTCGAAATCTTTTGCAAAATCATCGATAGCAAAAGATAAAATCCATTGATGAGTATACCCTTTGTGTTGCAGGTCGCGGACGTCGCATCGTCTTACAAAAATAAACTTAGCTTTTTTTAATGTGACTACAGTACTCATTGTATACGTTGTTCAGTATTTTTCTTACAATCTATCCGGATTACGTAAACGTTTTTACCTGGCACCAAATCTCGTTATGGAACGGTAGATTGCACTCAAATAGTGACATTCGAGTTCCCTTTTCTCACTGGGCATTTCGTTATAGTCCACAATAGCGGACAAACAAGAATGTTTGCTCCCCGAAGAGGTTCGGCGGGACTACTTAAAGAGGTTTTGTTAAAGGCAAATACTTGTACAGTTCTTTTTTTAAAGATCTCTCCTCGGAAAGTAAATACTTGTTGCATTACTTACCTTGTGACGTAAATAACGTTAGTAATTTTATGATTGGAATGATAAAAAAGTAGTGTATGAGCTTATGGTATCGTTTTTCTATGAATAATATCTTTTTACACTATAAATTGATTACATGTTATTTACGTAATAAAGACTAGGTTTTTACTAGTTCGTAGATAAAACAATATAACTGGAACAGGGCTGGTATTTACAGCTTTGAGGTTGCTTATTTGCTCATAACTGTTCAATAATGATGTTATTTTATAATTTTTATTTTATTCATACACTATTTTGGTGTACTAATGTAGGTTTAGGTACATTTGTCTGACTCATATTGCGATCCCGCCGCACCTTAATTGCTTTACTGCGCAAAGTACATGTAGTGGAGTTATGTGTAGTATACATTCTTAAAAGCATTGGAGCCTCCACAAACATTTGCTCACACAAGTGGAGTCGGATGTTTTCAGATCATAATACAAGAGCACCCATTGATATGATGCCGTTCTGCCAACTTATACAAGTAAGCTGCATCAACACATTTCATTAAATTTTACACCTTTTGTCGTTGTCATAAGATGCATGCAGACGATTATCGTACGCATTTCGTTGCAAGTTCGTTGAGTAGTTTACTCGTAAGGTAATCCATTGAGCTCTTGGAGTTTCTGTTATTTATTTGTGCGTTTGAATAAATATAAAGCGGGTTTGGTATTGATGTTGATTGATGCGGATTCGTTGCACTGTTTATACAGACGAGCCGAAAGGTATATTCGAAGCTCTACGAATTCTTGCGTCCGATATGATGAGGTCCCCACCCTACGGTACAAATGTAGTACTTTTGTTTAGTCTATTTTTCAGTGTTAACGAAGTAATTGGTTGAGTAGTAACAATATTTTATTTGAATCGAAGTTTTAAAATGCATAACGCATCATTTTTACTTTGGTGAAAAAAGCAATTCGGGCATGATTTTTTTCTAAAAAGAACAGTTATTTGTTCTGGAAACAAGTCAAGAATATTTTCGACCAATAAATCAATGGAAGTGTGAAAAATAAAATATGACGTACCTTCTTAGATTAAAACAAAAAAGCGGGTACCTTAGTACTTTTCTTGACGGTTTTTTTGTTTTTTTGAAAAATAGGTCCTACAAATGACTTCACCCCTCCTGATGTTAAGTGAAGGTGAAATCCAGACGCAAAGATAGCTGGTACAGCAGTTCTACCTGCCACACCAGCCATCTTCACCCTGCCGGCCTGCATGTTGCTTCTCCACGCCTCTTTTTAACGTTGTAGCACCTATTTGTTATTTTTGTTCTCTAATACACGAGCGACGTGACTTGGGATTAAAGTAACTAATGTAA